CTGCTAACAATTCCGCTGCCATTACGATTAATATCCTTCAACGTTGCGTCACTTTTCTTACTGTAGGTGAATTTAATATCTTTTATAAAACCAGCTTAAATTCACAATTTTATTCACAATGCGCTGAAGCTTTTACTTGTATCATGTGTAAAAAACGATTTGAAAAGGAAAATTTAAAGGAAGTTAATATTTCTAGCAATTTTAAATATTTATATCATTCGTTTTATTTTATCGGATACACTCAGATGATGGTATGATCATTCTATACAAAACTATTTCAGTGTCTATTATCCATTACCCACGTTTTCACAACGTTCGCTTCTTGACTCTCAGCGACTTCACATTATTACTTTTTTTTTAATTTATTTATTTCTTTCAATACTTTTCTGTTTGATATACTATTATATTTTTCTTCACACCCCATCTTGATTGTCTTTTTCCGGTGTTTCATTCGATATCTACATATTAATATTTTGTCTCTCGTTCGTTTTCTATCTGCGTTTCTCCTTTTCTATTGATTTTTGTCGTCCCAACCAGGAAGAAGTATCAAAAACGTTTTGAACATGGATATTTGGTCAGGTCTCGAAAAGTGGATTCGACCGAGGACATTGCAACACACCCTCAATTCTGCCTGTATTTAGGAAGCAGAAGGAGAAAAAAAAACGAAACGATATATCTATTAGAATCCTTCTAACCTTGAGCGAGTGATCAACATCACTACTCGAATATTCCATGTTGTACATATCACGATATGACACAAAATGTTTACGATAATGGAACAATCAATGTTTTTTTTTTCCATGAACATGAATAACTCTTCGATTTTTCTATTATTGATCAGAATCACGGATAATTTATTTTCATGTGAGCAACAATACTGACGATTTTGCAATATCTTGAAAAAAGAAATCCTCTCTGTTGTGATGTCTCAATTTAATGGCACCAAATAAAATATAGCCATAGATATACACAAGAAAAGTGAGGGAAAGGACATAGAAATCAAAGCTTCATGATAACTGCCAGTTTCCCACCTCATATTCTGAAGTACAGTTGGACATGGAACGGATAGTCATCTTGCAGTGTCAATTTCTATGTCTACACTCTCTATATTTGCAAACGCTCTACCTCCGACATTGAGCTCTCTTACCCATTAGAGGAAATCCTAAGTAACATACACACACACAGACACACACAAACACGCACACACAAAAACACACACACACACACATATATATATATATATATATATATATATATATATATATATATATATATATATATATATATAGATATGTACATAACGGGTGCACTCGCTGCATTATTACAGTCAAGTTTATAAACAGAAATCTCAAATACACAGCCTAAAAATACTGAATGACTCAAAAAAAAATAAAATACAAATGCTATTTTCAATGCTAAAATTTATAACAGAAGAAAAAAATAGAAATTAAATAAAGTAAATCTCAAGTTGAAGAAAAATCAATTCCTAATACGCTGCCTAAAAACATAATATGACAAAAAGATAGAAATGAAATCTTGTAAACTTAATATAGCTTTATTGTCAATAGCAAAATTTAAAATCAAACAGAAATATATAGAAATAAATAAATGACATGACATGTCATGACTCTCTATCACCAAATCAATCCCTAAACAAAATAAATTTGAACAATTGGTTTCCTCTTCGCCAACGTCTTATAATCTCCGGTGTTCTAGATATAGAGCCGACGAAATCGATGTAACAGTTGGTCTGAAGATCACTTTTCGTGTGAAAATGTTGATTTCTATGTCAATACAGTCTGTATCTTTGTACTCCTGATATTGAGCAATTTTACTCCATAGATAAAAATATCACAATACATATGCTCCTGATAAATTTATTTCACTTGAACTATCTCTGGGGAGGAAATGTGGGTTTGTAATCAGTGACTATTACGGCTAATAATGCAAGACTATTCTGTAAATCGAATCGAGTTCGCTCAGTCACTTTGTGTTTATCTAAAAACAAATACGCTTAAATTCAACTTCATCCATGCCGTGCACCAACTGCTTAGTGGGAGAACCCCGACTGACGCCAATTCAGTCGGGTTTCGATCCTAGCTAGTGACAACCAGACATCTAGCCACACTGATGAGCTGTGATATAGCGAAACAGTATATGCATGACAATATATATATATATATATATATATATGTGTGTGCGTGTGTGTGTAGGTCCGCTCGTGCGTGTCTCTGTGTGTGTTCGTGTGTGCTTGTACAAGATGCTTTTCTCTTATTTTTTTTCTATTCTCGCGCTGCTGAATAGTTTGAAGAAGATTGCATTTAATTGACAATTAAACTCAAAGTTAAATAAATAAGTAAGATGTAGAATCTTGTGTGCTACGCCGTGGAGCTGCTTGCTTTTTGAAATATTCTTTTAATGAATTCAACTCTTGTTTCTTGTTTTCAAAATATCTTTATGAATCACGTCCATGTCTACAGATAAATATTATTTCCTGTAATCGCCAATTAAAGTAAATATTTAACATTATTAAATGTAATCGAATTCCATTTCTGAAAATTAACAGATCCACTTCTTGATATAATATTTTTTTTTAAATATGATAATCAAATACCAATCAAGAAATATAGCAGAAAGATGTATAGTGTTCTGTTGTTGCAATATTTGGTGTTTTTAAAATGTATTTTGATGGTTTTATAATCTAATGGAAATATTAAATTAATGAGTAAACTTCGAAATTATTTAAATTATTATGTTGTCACATCCGAAAATTTCAATAAAGAATAATGAACTTTATAAAGATATTTGCTTAAGATGTCCGTCATGTTAAGTATAGAAGAGTTGTTTTCGTCTACGTTTCTAAGTTTCTATAGTTTTCTTATTAAGATTGATAAATAAAAACATCCTTTTTTGAACAAGCTTACAAGAACGGAAGATATGAATCAAAATCAGAAAGCATTCGACCATAATGGAAATTGATTTTGCATGAATTGATTCCTAGTTCCCTTTTCGTCTATTAAATATGTTATTTATTCTTGAAGTCAATGTCTTAAACGTACAGGTGCTCAGTGTAACAGGAAATAAAACGGGTTTGATATAAAAGGCCTTGTCAGATTCAGTATTGATAAACAAATTATTATGAATCAACAGACAATTCTGTAGAGGCATGATACTCAAAAAAATAGTACTGGATAAGAAAATACCCTACTGAGGTTTTAAATGGTTTTGCAAAAGAATTTCTTAAAAGATAAGAATTTTAGAAATAGCGTTCAAGATTAAATATATGGTGATTAAATGTGCATATATTTATGTTATTTTAGCGGATACTTCGTACTTGAAATAGACGTCCCATTTTTATTTATTAATCTGTGTTTCTAATATCTCTCGGCCTGTGCAATGTAGAAATCTTAACTCTACAGTAGGGAACGAACCTACGTCCGCCTTTGCTGAAAAAAATAATACTTTGTATTTTCGTGCAGTCAAGAACGTTGCCACTAAGTTACATTTTTAGTTTTTCAGGAAATCAGATCCAATCAATCCAGATTATACTCGTGAAAGATTCATGTCTTCTCAGTTTCATTCCCTAAATCGTAACACAACAATTTCCAAATTGTTTAATCTGTTAATGGTTTTTCTATTTAAATTAAGAACCCTCCACTCTAATAGCGTTTAAAGTAATGAAAAATGTCGGATTAAAAATAAATCCATTAAGTCTTAGTGTAGGTACCTCCAAACATTTTCTAAAACAGAGCATACCATGATACACATAGTTTTATCGCCAAAATGTTTATGTTATTACTAAGAGGAATGACCAGTGTATTTCCGATTTATTTATTATTTTTTTAATCGTTTTTAGCAAGTTCAAAATTTTAGTTAAAATTATTGTTTTCCTTGCGTCAGCGGGTGGGCTAAAGATTAGTATTGGATTTTTTTGGAGGTGGGGGTGTGGGTAATTAAGAACACATTTCGAAATTTTTTAGAAATTCTTGAAAAAATAAAATAATCGGATTCTAATAATATTCTCAGGATTTATTAAAAAATTAATGAAATTATTTTAGAATATCTTTTTTTTTTTAGAAAATCTTGGTAAAATATATTTGTTTTACATTTGTTTCCTTGAATTGCTTAATGTTATGGAATTTCGATATTAAAGAAATTATAGATGTCTCTTACGGTAAAAGACTAGTAAAGCATAGAGTTGCAAGATGTAATAAACGGCAATGGTGTTTGTCGTAGTAAAATCTGCAGTAGTATTTTATTGTACGTTAGCAATGTTTTCCAAGAACCCAAGACTATTTCGCAGACATTTTTGGTTTGATAGCAGATTATAAAATAAGAAAACTTCTTTATGTGCCTGTGGAACTTGATTTTCTAAATTCTGCGAACTTATAGAATCGGTAACCACATCGCATTTTTGGAAGATATTTAATCTGAAAGAACACGAATATCAGCGTTTTGTCAAATTTGTCTTCATAATTAAGAGACTTCAGTCAAATCGTTCAGCACCAGAAAACTTAACTGTTCTAAACTTTTAGAAATTCAAAGTTCAGTGCTGAGTAAAGAAACTTGAAAATGTTGGTTGTTCGAGGATTTCCTGCCGCATGGTGAGAATCTTAACGAATTCAGATATTGCGAAAAACGGGTGTGAGTGAAGACGTTCGTCAAATGAGACCAGTATATTAAGAATATTATCTTTCACCATAACAAAATTACTCATTTGCCTCCTTCAGGTTATGATCAGTTTAAATTTGTATCCCCGGATAACATTTATGAGCAAATCGGTCCCTAAATTCATAAAGAAGGCAGCAGACGTTTGACGTTGGGTTCTTCAAAAAAGGACATTTGAACTTTAGGCAAAGAAAAAGAAAAGAACAACAATAAATAAATAGCAGAGTACGTTGTGTGGTGTGCCTGTAGGTGTCTCTATCTCTCTATATATATATCAGTGTGTAAGCGTTTGTGTGCATCCCCCCCTTCTCTCATACTCACTCTCTGTGTTTATGTGTTTGTGCGTATCTCTCTCTATGCCTGTTTGCGTTTGTGTGCATCTCTTCCCCTCTCTTATTCTCTCTCTCTCTCTCTCTCTCTCTCTCTCTCTCTCTCTCTCCCCCTGCGTGGGTGTAGTAGCGAAGTGTAATGCTTTAATATTACAGAATCGTTAAAATGATTTCGGTTGAGTTTTTTGCTCAGTTTATGCATTTTCTCGTCCTATGTTGACAAAATGTCTCCTCACTGGTATGCTACAACATTTTAAAAAGAGCGAGCAGGTATGACCAATTTCCAAAACCATTCTCCCTTAAATACCTCGCATATTCTTCGTGGTACAAGTGAAAATATTAGGGAAGAATTTTCGGCCAAATTTGATAAAGACCAAAAATTAATGATAATTAAGAATGATATTGTATTATGCTCTGAATATTTAGTCTTCATCCTTCATTTCCGTAAAATGTTCGACTTTGTAACATTTTGAAATACTCACTGATTGGCCCCAACGTATCTGGAGAGAAACAGGTGGACACACAACACGCCTTGTTACCTCTTTTTCAAGCAATGGTCTCTCACCGGAAGCGAGCATAAACCTTCATCAAGCCAGCGATTGAAAATATTCACCTCCATTTAACACGTGTAACCGTCTTTGTGCTTACATTGAAGGCGGAATCGTTTCTTCCCTCACCTGGCACGGTTCAGCTGTTAGGAAAGGAACAAGATGGATGTCCATAAAGAAACCGGAACTGCAGTTAAGTGAAAGCTTACATTTCCTTCTGCAATGATATTGATAGGATTACGTCATCAGCGTCGCGTCTTTGGCAACGTTCCGAGCGTAAATGATAGGAACGAGGAAGCAATTAAAAGGCTTCCGATTGACATGTGGATGTCGATCTCTACATAACAACGTGTTAGTGTCTGTTTTATCGGTATAAATTATCCACACTCACACAGATACATACATACATACATATATATATATATTAAACTAAACGAAGCTACGCATATACCTTCTTGGAAGGAAAGTTATTGCGTTTGTGTAATATTACATTTAGAAAACCGTGAGAATTTTACTTACAACCAGATACAGAGACGCATATATCCTCTCTACCCTAACTTTCCTCTCCCTCTGAATTTTTATATATATATATATATATATATATATATATATATAGGTATACTCAAACACACACACACATATATGATTCATATGAATAATAACAACTACAACAATAATAATAATAATAATAATAAAATCACCACACATATTTACATACTTATATATGTATATGATTTACATATTTACATACTTATATATGTATATGATTTACATATTTACATACTTATATATGTATATGATTTACATATTTACATACCTATATATGTATATGATTTACATATTTACATACTTATATATGTATATGATCAGCAATTTTTAATCTGTGCTACGAGAACTAAAAACAGATATCTTCTGTAATATTTCAGAATTATAATGTAAAACAATATAACAATAAAAAAGGAAATATAATGCGAACTATTAAAGTTTGCAAGTATTGCTTTTCAAATTATAACCATTCCATATGTTTAACAAATAAATCAAAATTTCACGATTCGAGTTCAAACAATTTAAATGAAATAAATTACACCATATATATATATATATATATATATATATATATATATATATATATATATATGGTGTAATTTATATATATGGTGTAATTTTATGGCCAGCTGTTATATATATATATATATATATATATATATATATATATATATATATATATAACAGCTGGCCATTCTCTGTTTCAGCTCGCTCAGGTACCTTTTGTGTTTTTTCAACACCCACACAGCCAACCTATGTTTTATACTGTAACTATGCTGAGCAGACCTTAGTTACAGTTTCTCGTAGAAAGCGTGTTTTTTAGCGTGATCATCAATTTAAACAAAGGCAGCACGCTCAAGCCCTCGGCCACGATGACTTGTGACTTCGTGCTAAATTAATTATATATATATATATATATATATATATATATATATATATATATATATATCTTTGCCTAATTTTCCCTTAGAATGGAAACTACCCCGGAATAGGAACATAACTCTGTCCATGGCTTAAGATATCAAGCCAATTAGATCCAAACAGGTTTGCGGACAAGACGGTATCCTTGAATTTGTCCTAAAGAAATTTATTCCTGAACTGAAACCCTTTCTTCTGCAATTTCTGTTTTTTAAACACTATGTTCAACATTCTTATCTCTCCAATTATCGTCCTGTAAATCTTTTACTACATTTTGGCAAATTACTTGAGGTAATAATCAACTCTAAATTGGTTAAGCATCTCACTTCACACGACATTCTTTCGGATAAATAGTATGGCTTTCGTTACAGGCTCTAAACTTCTAATGTCTCAAGTGTTATTCCTGTATTTGTCTATTGGTCTTTAGATAAAGAACGGCAAAATTAAAGAACCATTTTAGCATTCCTTCAATATGGTTGATGCTAACCTCCGGGAGAGCAAAACATTGTGACTTCTTGGTCTTGTTTCCTACTGACATAAATTAGTACAATTATATTGAATCCATTGCTAAGTCTGCTGCTAAAATTGTTTGTTCACTGGGACGTGTCAATTTTTAGCCAACAGCTCAGAATCAATCTTACCATTCGTCAGTGAATTGAAAATTGCTGCCCTATCTGGTCTAGGTTTTGTTGTTATATTTCTCCAGGCTGTTGATAAAATTCAAAGAAAGTTCTGCAGTTTTATCAATTCTGATCTGGTATCTCGATTTCAATCAATTTCCCACAACCGTAACGTGTCTTCCTTCTCTCTTTTCTATAAAAGATTTTCATGGCAATTGTTGTAATGAGCTCTCTTCCTTGATAAACCGAAAGCCTCTATTTTTATAATTTTGTTTCTGACACTTTTCATAATTCACGTGGAAATAATTTCAGAATTTGCAGAATTAAAATATAGAATTAAATATAAAATATAAAATTAAATAACTTATAATTAAGTAATTTATAAATAAATAACGAAATAATCGATATGTCTGTGAATTACGAATCTTAGAAATCCGCAATAATATATATATATATATATATATATATATTGGAGGAACAAATATTCATACACTTAAAAAATTTTAATTTATTGTATTTACAACTAATGAATAAACATATTTCCATAAAATTATCTGTACACAGATGCATAATAACCAAGTATGCATAGAAAACGGAAAATACAAATCAATCCCATTTATCCAGTTAAATCAGTGAAAAAGTCTTCGCACAAAGGAAATTTCAGATTTTAAAACTGTAAATATTTGTATCCATAAAAATAATGTATAAGCAAAAAATATATTAAAATAATTGCCAGATTTTGCCCATTTCATAAACATTATGCCATTTGTTTGCGTTAAGGAGATTTCAGAGTTCGAGGGAAATCATGGGAAATTTGTAGTTTAAAAACAATAATTTAAATGTGCTAAGAAGACACTTCCTCTGTAGCTAAATGGCATAGCATGTCAGGCTAAATGACGGTTTGTGTAAGATACCAGTTCGATTACTATATTTCCTTTGAGATTTTTCGTACATTCAATACGTAATTTTTTTATAAACAGATCACTTACTTAAATATTTGTATCTATAAAATAACGTATAAACAATACATATATATATATATATATATATATATATATATATATATATATATATATATATATATATATATATATATATATATATATATATCATAGCAACACATAAATACTAGGTTTCCCCGTTACATATATATATATATATATATATTTTTCGATATATATGACTGTTAACCAATATCAGTTATATATATAACCGATATATATATTTGATTATAGTAGTGAAGGCGATTTGTGTAGAACTAACTAGCAACACATTTTAGAAGTGAAGGCCGAATACACAGACCTGGTTCACTGTATGCCACAAGGTCCTCAAATGACCCTCCGCAGGTTTTGTATTCAGAATTATCCTTTTTCTTAAACAAAGTCTGCCCTGCTATTTATCCATAGCTGGTGGGAAATAAGTGCTAATATTCTTCCCAAGCGTATTATATATATATATATATATATATATATATATATATATATATATATATATATATATATATATATGATAAAAAATGTGCTTTTTAAGGTATGGTATATTTATCGGTTAAACTGCTAAAATCAGGTATAGCGTCTATGTAAATATATAATTTACACAATCTTCAAGCCATGCGCGTTGTGTTGTGTTTTGTCTAGGCTATTTATATTTGTTGTTCAGCTGTCCATTATGTGTAAAAAGTCTCTCCACCCGAAAGTATTGCCAGTTATTTTTCAGTAGTAATCATTATTTATACTTAATCCTATACGGAACTAAAAGACCGAAACAAACAAAATATTTACAACTAAATAAAACATACAACATCTGTGAGATGACGAAGAATATGTCGGCTGAAAATTCTATACCTGAATACATCAAAGAAGTATGCAACAGATCGACATTTTTATCCTACTTCTATGCCAATTTTCTTTTTCAAATCGGATAAAAATAAATGGTAAGTAATAAATCGTCCTCCATTCTGCGCTCTCCTCTTCTAGTGCCAGATTGTCTGCTTATCTAATTCAATTATTCAAAAGCACTGAGTCACTATTTGTGAGCATCAACAAATATTTCAAGGAAGAACCGCTTCTCGACACGAATCCGGATGCTCTAACCTCAATGGAGATAATTCTTTGAAGTTAACGGCAAGGAAGTTCTGCGAAAAAGATTTGTCCTGCATCCTTAACGGCAGGGGGGGAACAAATGAAGCGGAGGAATTTGAGAGACGTACAATAAGTCTGACAGTCTAGCAAAGTTGAATTTCGGAGCCAGCTCTTCATCGAGATAGACATCCCTTAATTGACAAAGACAAATAGACGAAAACACATAGTTAAACCGTATGTCCATGACTGATTTTACAACTGAGCGTATTTAATGACGACGGTAAAGATAGGAAGAACTTTCTGCCAATATTCCAATTCTTTAACAGCGTGATTGCACTCTGCAAATCAATGCATGAAAGAATCATTCACATAGAGACACATTTATATATATATATATATATATATATATATATATATATATAT